ACAGCTTATGTTATCTTCCTAGGATGCAATGCTTGGGCACAGTGACAGGAAGTGGATGCACTCTATTTGTAAGTAAATTAAACATATGTTTGTTTAACAAATGTAATATGATTTTATATCAGCATGCTGACGTGATTTTTTAGTGAAATGGGGTAAAGGTCCACTTTGAGTAATGGCTTTCTGTGGATAACTCCATTAGGCCTGAAAAATCTATATATGAATGTAGTGGTTTTCCACAAAGTTAGAAAAAGTGTGGTCATTGTGGCTTGATTCACAAGATCTTGCCTTGCTGGGTCTTTTGGGATAAAATACAAGACATTTGGGAAAGATGGCCTTAACAATGTATGTAGGATAGGGTATACCATACAATGTGTGGAGGGTATTTAGAGGTCCTTGAATTACTATTTGTTTTATACCTTAAATATATGCAGAATGCTAATAGAAAACAAACAACACAAAACACATCCAAATGATATACTATTTTACACTGCAATTTCATGCATTACTTTATTTCTTTGTTTTTTTCTAAATGGGGTGGTACAGAGTTACAACTTCTGTTAGGTTTTTAATGCTCTTTGTGTTCCCATTAGGAAGAACAAACCAATAAAGTGTCTGAAGCCCTTCCTTCTTTAAAAAAAAGTGTTTTTGTTGCTTGACCCCATTGACATGACAAAAAGTGATTGCAAACTCTTCCATACAGGTTACAGACAACAACAGTATGAAACAACAAAAGTAATTTTTCCCCACTTCTTTCAAAATGTGGATTTCCACATTAAATCTCTTGCATATCTGATTAATGTTAGTAGAAATGGCATAGCATGTGATTTTTAAAAAATTAATTTAAGCAAATCAACTTTTTCTTTTTTTTGTTGATCTGCTACACCCTCACCCTCCTCTTGCACCTTTTTATCAGTTACTGGCTATCATACTGATGGCCAGTGGTAAGGTACAAGTGGTAGGTGGGTGTGGGGCAGAGCAAGTATCCATAGAAAATATATATATAATTTTTTAAGTACTCAGGGTTTTACTTTTTTTTTGTGCATCTGGAGGTGCAGTAAGTCCAAAGTGGTAGTTAATGATAATTGTTGATGAAAGATGTCATGCCCTATTCTGCTTTTTCATTTTGGGTTCCTTTCTAATGCCACAGATTGACAATATTATAATAAGTTTTAGTTGTATTATTTTACAGCTTTGAATCTGTAACTGTAAAATAATTATCAGATTTCCTCTTTTCCATGGTATTAATGTATTTTGAGCTTCAATCTTGTCAATCCAGTGTGCAGCATTTATACTTAATCAGACCCAGTCATCCCAGTACATACCATAAGAAGATTTTCACATAATAGCATAGTAAAGTCTTTATCAACTCTCATAAAGAATCCACTTATAGTGAAAGATTGTCATTTTCATAGTCTCCCTTTTTATACCAAAAAAGCTATGATGTTTTTGCATCAAAAAGTGGTTAGCTTCAGTGCAGGGCTGAGTAAAACCTGTCTGACAGTTTATAGGCCTTAGTATGTATGATATTGTATGTTGCCAGGCAGTTTTTACACCTGGAATTCTATAAGATAATCTCACTTTGGTGAATTACACATTAGAACCACGTAAATGTACATTTCCAGAGCTTGGCCCCATTAATTGGCAGTGAGGTCTGGTAAATAGCTCTCAAAGGGTAGAGAACTAATAAGGTATGTGCAGACGTATAGTTGTATTTAATTCTGGTAAAAAGGTGGTTGTCATTCTGGCTCTATACAGAATCAGAGTGTCTGTTTACATATAGTGGGATTTCCATTGGCTGACTGTACATGGATTGACTGTGTAGCAGATGTTGCATCTGTGTTAGGAATTCTGCTAAGCTGGGTGACCCCTTGCTATGCAAGTTAGAGTATTATGGTATTTCCAGGTGAATTAAGCCAGCAGTGGAGGGGCTGAACTGGCACTACTTAGAGCAAGGTGGGCTGGGCGCAAAACGGCCATTTGCAGTTTTGATTCTGTGCCAAAATCCCAGACAGGAGATAAATTGCCAGATAACTGCTTGTAAAACATCCTGCTGCGACCAGTATTGTTTGGGAGATTTTCTATTCAAGAACTATTATACATAGCCAAGATGTGGGTTTTTAGCAATACCTTTAATGTTGCAGTGAAGTTTGTTCAAGTGAGGTTTGGTGACACTTGAGCATCAGGCTTCCTACATAAGGACTAATTCTTTTTATCCATAGTGGCTGTTTTGAAGGACTGTATAATACTGCATAAGCATGGTTGGATAGCCTTTATAAGTTTTAACCATCTCCTTCAAGCAATAATCTGCAGCTCAACAAACAGCAAAAAAAAAAAAAAAAAGTTGCCATCTAACACATATATAATGCACATACTATTTTGTGTTAGATATACAATTTTTAAAAAGTTTCCTCATGAGGGTCCTCTGTGTGCTCATAAAGCAGATTTCTCTTCTCTTTCTTTTCTATTTGATACTATTACCTGGACATATCCTGAAGGGTACAGAAATGGTCAGCACTGCAGGTACATAAACCAAAAAACATGCATAAGATCACTCCTGTTTTTCACCTGCTAAGTATCGCTGATGACATTTTGTGTATTATGCGTATTATGAGAGATTGCTGGCTATTCTGAAAAAAAACGCAGATTTCAATATCAAACACACATGTTGGGCAACTTTGCCTATTAACTGCTAATGTTCCTCCAACCTATCATCATCAGAGTGGCTAAAATGCTAATATGTATCGCACAGGCCTTGCAATATGTCACACAGTGCAAAGCTGCAAGGGAAGCTATGGATGGAAGACTCACCTCAGTCACTGGGGCTCACCAGCAGGGGTCTTTATAAGTTTTAACTATCTCCTTCAAGCAATAATCTGCAGCTCATCAAACAGCAAAAATAAAAGCTGCCATCTAACACATATATAATGAACATACTATTTTGAGTAGATATAAAATTCCCCCTGTTTCCTCTGTTGGGAAGCAGCATTACATTAACAGGGTCACATAAGTAAGTTGGAGGTTGTGGTACTGCATTGATCCAGGTACAAATTATATTACAGTAGGAGAGAAAACTTTCAATTTATCTGATGATGGACCCTGATAGGGGAAATTTTTTTTATCAGACTTAAAGGATATATCCATTGTGTGCATCATATGGGTTTTTGGCCTTTTAAAAAAATCTATAATAGGGGTTGAGTTATGATCCATTGTAATCCAGTTACTTGTGTTAAAGTGGACCTTTACCATTAGCATACAGCTCTGCATCCCAATATGAAATCATCTTAAATTCACTAGCTAAACAAACATATTTTTACTTACAATTTCTCTTTTTCCACTTCCTAGTCTATTTTGGCACAAATGCTGTAATGAGCCCAAGCATTGCATCCTGGGTTAAATCAGCAGAGCATTGTTGGGAGATCTCGTCTGTAATCTCATGAGATCTCAGAGAACAGCATTTTTCACCCCTGAGATGATGTGCATGGTCACATGTTCTAGTCACATGTGCTAGAGTTTCAGGAAATAAAGGGAGATCTAGTAACCTGCCCTTAGTAGACATGGCCACTGTCAGAAGACTGGGTAAGAAAAGAGAAAATAGGTAGGCAAAGAATACAAAGCCGGCAATTATCTAGAAGTATCTATATGTAGATTGCCATTACTAAACATTTCTAAAGGTGTATTTGTTGTTATTTTGAAGATATGGGTAAAGTTTCTCTTTAAGTTATTATAATCTATATGTGAATATATATATAATACTTTAAAAGTCTCAGCCTCCAGGTTGCATTAAGTGACTCAATGTATTTGATGTTCATCATAGTTACTGTACAAACTGTATATGTACATTGTCTTGCCATGTCACTGCCTGACCAATCTGTCTCTTTCACAGGCTCACAAGGCATTTGCAGCTAATTATACACACAAGAGCAGCTGCCAGTCTTCTAACTGCTACATCTCACTAGTCACAACCCCATTTGCTCTCGTAGCAATGACATAGGCCTTATCAACACTATTGGCACCATGACCAGCTCCCGTGCAAGCAATCTCTTAGATACTTAATAAACCTTATTAGGGTGTAGTATCTCTCCATAGAAGTGCCAGATGACCATCCTATACCTATCTTACCATCTGAAATGTCATGTGACTCAAGTACTGTGTGTCTCCATAAGCTCCGTAAAACAGTTGAAGAGGGACTATCAACACACAGCTCTGCCTGTATTACCTAGTGATCTTTCATTATGTTTGGAATCCAGGAATAGTTAACTATGTATATAGAAGTACAAGGTATGTTTTCTATGGATGAAATAAATAAATCCAAAGGAACTCCGGGTAGAAATAAAAAATTCTTACCTTTAAGATGTTACCTTCAAGATGCAGGCAAGATGGCCAATTCCAGGTTTTTCTCAGCACCTTCACTGTGATCAGTCCTAATGGAAAGGCTTACGACTGAAATTTGAGAATTGTGTTTCTCTCATTCACTTAAATAACATACAATGAACAAACCACCTCAGACCCCTCACAGCCTTTCCTAACATTGCAAAGAAAGTTAAGTAATAGAAATGTTAACTCTTAAAACCATAACCCAAGTAAAAGCAGTTTAAACTCCAAGAAGCTTTTTTTGAATATTTTTTTTAGCTTTTGCTGTGTGAATGGGAACATGTAACAAATATAAAATAGATGTTATCCCAATTTGGCTGCAAAAGTGGAAATATACTTTTTTACACTTATTGAACAGACGTAACAATTATATATTTAACAGATCAAAAGTGAGCAAATAGGAGAAGTTCATTGATAGGGTTTATATACATTTGCGTATATGTATTGTTTAATACTTGGAAACTATAAAATAAAAGACTGTAAAAAATAATAAAACCCAGAATATTGTGTCTGTAAATGTAAATTGTTTTAAAGAAGTAACTTTGATTTAGGTTTATGAAGCACTTTTTAACTTACTGTACATGCTCTGCTGATTTGATGTATTATTAAGTGAAAATATTTTTTTCCAGAATAATTGAAAACCATTATTTAGTTCCTGGAGATGAAAATGCAACAGAATATTCTGTGTATGGAGAAGGCTACACCCTGGAATGTGAATGTCACAGTGAATGGTATCATGATGGCTGTACCCATAGAGACTACAGGTAATAGACTATTATATGCTATCAATTTTTAAATCCAGTTGTGAAATATGTATTTCCTTTATTTTTATAACATTGACATACAGTATCACCCAGTACCTTATATCATGGCAATGACACTTATCTGCACCTATAGGAAGTTACAGACTAATATCTCTACTATACTCATACATTCTTACACACACATGCATCTAGGGTCCATTTGATCACAAATTTTACCAGTTACTAGGATTTCATTGCAAAATGACTGTTTCCACCAAAAGCGAAATTTCACCAGAACGAAAAGTCACTATTTCAAGGGTAGTTAGGATCATTTAATACCCTTAAACTATCTTTTCAAGGATAATTTATTAAATTTAGTGTTTGTATTTGTTTTTTTTTCCTTTTTCTTGTTTGTTTGATTGTTAATTAGGTACTGTCGGTTTAAAGAACTGAACCTATAATGAGATATTTAAAAATTGTAATCTATGATAAGGCTAATAAGGGCTATTTTTTGGCACAAGAACAGACCCAGGATAGTTGAAAGAAGCTTTCATATCTCTCAGGAACCATTTAAAGCCTATTGCACCCTTAGCAAACATCAAAACAGCCTTCCCTATCGACTCAAAATGATGAAATGTGTCAAAATCTCAAAGAAATTAAAACTCTCAATTTTGCTCATCCTTCCTAGTCACTGTGAATTATTGTCCTTGCATTATTGTCCTTGCATTGCACATTTTTCTTTGTCCTACTACATACACCTGTAAATATTTTGATATTATATTTTAAAGTATGAAAAGAATATGAACATAATATACATTTTGTTCTTTCTTTTGAGTTACTTTATGCTTAACCTTTATTTTAAAACTGTGTTTTTAAGTTTTGTAAAATCAATAACAACTCTCCTTAACCACTTGACGTCCAGAGAAATTTTTTTTTTTTATAAATTCTTTATTTATCATTTTCATGAAATTTGTAACAAAACAAAATGAACATAACAGTAGTACAGAATGTACTCAGAAGTCGGTCAAGCAAATCCACCATCCCTACTATGCATCATAAGGTTTACATCCTGGACTGCAGCCATAGGCCTGTTCGGTCATAACCCTGTACATTTATCTGGAGTAAACCCGATCTTTCCATACGGCGGTTTAACCACAATCACCGTAATGAAAAAGTGAGGCGGATAGAGGTGAGAGAAAGTGGGGGCGGGAAGAGAGAAGACTAAGAAGAAAGTGAGACAGGTGAGTAGAATAGGAGGGGAGACAGACGTCGTCCCAAGATTCTCCCTCGGGTCCCAATCGCAGCCCCAAGCTTTCCTGTCAGTCACCTGCGTATCTCCCGACTACGGGCCTAACGCAAGTGTAGGAGACTCATCATGTCCACATCTCCATCCCCGATAGGCCGTCCGTATGTGGAAAACTCGCCCCCCACCCCCTCGCCCCTATGTATGTCAGTGTTGCCTTAAGAAATGCCCAATCCACCCTATTGAATGCCTTTTCGGCATCCGTTGATAGGAGAATGGTGGCGATGTCAAGTGATCTGGCTAGGTGAATGGCATTTAGGGCACGTGTCGTGTTTTCCTTGGCTTCCCTTCCCGGTATGAACCCCACTTGGTCGGCATGGATTAGTCCAGTCATATGGGGCAACAGTCTGTTGGCTAGGATCTTTGTAAATACCTTTAAGTCTGCATTTAGCAAGGAAATCGGGCAAACGCCTGTCCCCTAAAGGTCTGGGAAGAGAGAAAAAGGGAGAAAGAACACAACAATTAGAAAATATTTAAAAAACTATCAATAGAGAATCAAAAACTCCGGGGTGCTGCCCCTCAGAGTTGTCCTATGTGGGGAAGTAACCAGAAACATGGAAACTGTGAGCATTCCGAACTCGAGCGCCCGATATCTAATCATTACTAATTAACATAAACAGTGAGTCCTGAAAGTAAGCTGGTGGTGGGACTTATACTAGCTCCCTGAAGCGGACATCTATTAAGGACACGGCTAAAGGGGCTCCCATATGGCAAAGGACTTCCAGAGCCCAGCTTATGAAGCCGCTCGGCAGGGAAATGATCCCCCCCCAATCAAGGCACATAACTTCCCGGCCAACTAAGCAGTAACCCCGACTGGACCCGTTGAAAGCTGTAAAAGACTCCAGGGCAGAGTGAGCCACATCTGCAAATACAACAGGGCCCCGTAGGACCTGTGCTCAGGTAGGGTGCTTGTACGTCTCTCAGTCCCCGAACAAGTAACCGTGGTTCCTCCGTCAGATCAACTGGCGGCCCGTGACGGCGGGGTATCCCCTTTTCTGGGCCGTAGTAGCAGTGACAAGGGCAGGGGTGGAGGGCAAACATCCTGTCTTGTACCCATTGGGCCTGGCGGCAGTCCCAGTCCGAAAGTCCCCTCAGCAGCCTTGGCCCTCAGCGGATAGCTACAGCGGTAAGGCGAAGGTTGGTCAGGGCCTGCAGGTGGGTAACTTGCAGCTGTTCAAGCACCCCTAGCCGTGAGGCAAATGAGCCCTGGGTATTCTCCAGGGAAGTCACTCTTTCATCTACCCCCTGTACCTGCAGCCGTACCGCCGTCAGCTCTTTCTTCATGGATCCCTCCAAACGTTCCACCATCGAATCCAGGTCCGACCTGAGGGCCGCATACAGCCCTCTGAGTTCCGGTCCCGAGATCGGAGATTGCGTCTCCAGCGTAGTAGAGGTGCCGGGGCGTGCCGGGGAGTCCGGTTGGAGCCTCAGGGGGGTGAGTATCGGGGAGGCAGTCGGCAGATCATCAGCAGAGGAGGCGTCATCTTCGGCTAACTGTGAGCGTGATTCCGCCAAGCCGCTGCAAGCCACACGTGTGGGCGCCATCTTGGATCCCCTGGCCCGCGGCTCGGGGGCGGCTTTCGTAAAGAATCCGCAAAGATCCGGTTTCGGTGAGGATTTCGGGGTCCCCTTTCCTTTCTTCTTTTTGGACATGGCCCCAAATCCACACCGTTTAAACAACACCAGCCTGAGATATCGGACCCGAGGTACGGAGCTCACGCGCTGCACGTCCTCACAGCTCCATGTCCTGGCCACGCCCCCCCAGAGAAATTTCTTACTATTTGCACATACATGATAAAATCTGAATTTTGGCTAGAAAACAGCTTAACAATTATATATTTTCTGAAAGCAGAGGACCTGTAGACAAAAAAAAATGTTAGTTGCCATTTTTTATGTCGCACTGTATTTGTGCATGTTTATCAAACTAGTATTTTTAGGATAAAATACAGAAACAGAATATAATACCCAATTTTTGGTAAAATATAAAATACGGGGTCACCCTGGGTAAATAGATACCAAAACATCTCAAGTCTTAAAATTGCGTTCGAAACTGCAAAAAACTAGAATATCAAAATTTCCCATAGGCAAGGCTTTAAAAGCTTTTACTGCTCATCAGTTTAGCGTGACCAGTGATTAACGGCCCTAGTGGTATTGCTCTCACTCCGACGTTCGCGGCGGGATGTAACATTTGCGGCACAATTTTTGTGTTTGCAGGTAGGCACATCCAAAGCATGTATGCATTGTATGTGCGAGTACGTGGAGGGCGGGGACTTTAAAAAAAAAAATTTTTATATGCTACTTTCATTTTTATTTATTGTTTACACTCAACTTTATTGCTATCACATAGAAGGCTAATAATCCCCCTATGTAATAGCAAATAATATGTGACAGGGCCTCCTCATGGAGACATCAGGGATCTTTCAGTCTGCTAATGTCACCTACGGACCCCAAAGAAGCTGATAAAGCTAAGATCTGCTTCATCAGCTTCTTCTCCTGGCTCTAAGAGCCAGAGAATGTGCACAGTAATACCGGATGTGATGTAATACACAAGTGAAGTGATGTAATACATCGGCAAGAAGCCTGCTGATCTCACTCTGATCTGTCAGGGGAGACCTGCCGTGCTGGTCCTGGGCCTGCATGGGGAGCAGCGGAGTCCAGGGAAGCCAGTAGCAGTGGGTGGGGCATACAGCGATACAAGCGTTCCGGCTCCTGTACAGCAATCGCTGCTTGTTTAAAACGATACCAAGAACATGGCCGCAGCAGCCGTGTTCTTGATATAACCACTTCATGAATGAAAAATTGTGTTGGAACTTAAAGTTAACCTGTTCCCAGACTATACACTCTAATGTATTTACATATTCTAAACAATCAGTTAAAAGAAGTTTGAAAAAAATCCTCATTCGCCGCTATATCAAAAGTCATTGTGGAGAAATTTGTCTCAAAGTTCACAAGACAGGCAGTGAAATCTTAGCCTTTTCAATGAAAGCAGATCTTTGTTGTGCCCTTTGAGGATCTTTGAGAACAAATTATTTCACATTATAAGTAGCTAGAGATGTCAGGTATGGCTTGTTTTTAAACTTTTACTGTTTGTTAAAGGAGAACTATAAGGTGAGTGCTTTTCACTCACCTCATAGTTCATTGTACCTCTACAATCTATGGATATATAATTCAGTTGTTTTATGTATATGCATAACAGCTATGATCCTATGCCCTAGTTATTCTCTAAGATAGTTGCTGTCAAGACCTGCATAGAGTAAAGCATGTAGAGTATCTGGCTGTACCTATGATAATAGAATAACATATTAACTGCATAAATAGTGTACAGGTGTGCAACACCAACATAGGTGGAGAGATTTCCCAGTATCATCACAAGCCCACAAGTTTTTTCATCTGCAACTTAAGCTAGAGTAATGCAGAGAAGAGATGTAGTTAATAAAAGGGTTTTTTTTTAGGGACCCCATAATCAGTAAGTAAATTGATTAAAATGTTAACCTTTTCCCAGACCAATAAATGTATAACTTCACGAAACTCTAATAATTGTCACAACTGGAGTGGAGGGAAGTCCAGATACAGTGGGAATAATCGATTGTTGAAGAGGAGGAATACAACTGTCTTCTTATATAAAAGGATGTGCTTATGCCTCAGCAATTCTCATGAAAAGGTCAAACTTCTTATACAAGGAATATATTTGTTTGGTTTGGTGATACACATAAGAAAA